ATCATTATCATTATAATCCTTATTATTATCTTGTATTAGTTGTAGTAGGAGTTATAATAGTATTAGTAGCATTTATTATATAACAATTTAAATATAAAAAAGTTTTTGATAATAGTCAAATAGTAATAACGATATTAATGTTAATAACAATAATGATAAAACAATGATAATTAGTAATAAACAGTATTATAATAGTAAATTTAGTAATAATACTTATAGTAATTATATTAACAATTAAAATAATAATAATAACAATAATAGTAATAATAATTAATAAATATAATAATAATAATAAAATAATTTATAATAATAATGATAATAAAAATAATAATGTTTTTTTCTTTTATTCTTATAATGATAATATGATAATCATGATAATAACTAATAATAATATTAATAATAATAATAATAATAATAATATATTAATAATAATGTTGATATAATGTTATTATAATGATAATAATTATAACGATAATAATAATAACGATAATAATTATAATTCGATAATGTAATAAAACGATAAATAATAATAACGATAATAATAATAAAGAGAAATAAAGGACTATGGAAACAGAAGAAAGTAGTGTGTCCCAGTTGCTATTGGAGCTCTTGGGATCTGTGACCAAGGATTTGAGAAGAGGGTTGAAAAGCTTGGGATTCACTGAACTTAGGGAGTACTTCAAAAGACTTGCGTCTGTCGGGAACTGCCAGGATTTTGCCGAAAATACTGTGAGATTTGAAAAAAAAATGGCTGTAGCCCATGGTCACTTTGTTATGGCCCGCATATTCAGCTTAGAACTCGGCAATAAGAACAGCAGAAACAAAGTGTGTAAAAAGAGATGCTAATAATAATAATGCTAATAACAATAATAATAATAATAATAATAATAATAATAACATTAATATTTATAATAATAATAACAATAATAATAATAACAATTATGATATTAATAATGATAATAATAATGATAATAACAACAAGAGGAAATGAAATATCCATTTCAGGTTGTTTGTTTCATCTGATTAGGAACTTTGACGATTGCGAAACTTTTCTGTTTTATAACAGTCTGTCGTTCTGTCTGTCTGACATTCTCTCTCTCTCTCTCTCTCTCTATCTCTCTCTCTCTCGCTCTCTCTCTCTCTCTCTCTCTCTGCCTCTCTCTCTCTCTCTCTCTCTCGTTCTCTCTCTCTCTCTCTCTCTCTCTCTTCTCTCTCTTCTCTCTCTCTCTCTCTCTCTCTCTCCTCTCTCGCTCCTCTTCTCTCTCTCTCTCTCTCTCTCACTCTCTCTCCTTCTCGCTCTCTCTCTCCTCTCTCTCTCTCTCTCTTCTCTTCTCTCGCTCTCTCTCTCTCTCTCTCTCTCTT